CTGCATTACTATCTTGGCCTGGCTGTGTATTGAAAGTTGTGCTATTGATTCTCAACATTTCAATATAGCCTAACAGTTAGAGTCTAGGCCTAAGGACAAAACTCAACTGATTGCACACAAAATTGACATTTGAATTTGATGACACCATTATTTATAGCTAGGTCTAGATCTAGACCGAATTTTCTGTCTCTCTCGTTCGTTAGCCTCTGATTTGGGTAAGGTCGGCTCCTAAATCCTAGGCTAACGAATGAAAGAGACAGACAATTCGGTCTAGGTCTATAGATCTAGCACAGTAGTAGCAGTATTAAAATGCAATTTTTGTTCAGCTCACTGATGTTAGACAAAATAATTTACTGTCATACTCGCCGATCAGCCACATCAGCCACATCGGCATGATTGTGTGCATTTGTGTATAATGAGTCTATTGACTATTCATGTGTGCATATGCTGCCTATTAACACGTAGACTCTATAGACTCTACGTATTGTAGTGCTAGAGGTCAATACGCATTAGCATTGACTCTAGTCTATGCTTTGCTGGAGTGGACTAGATCTAGAGTAGACTCTAGTCTAAATGTTGAGTTTACAAATTATTACACTTTTCATTTACACGTACAGCAGAGTAAGGCCTATATATTTTCAAGTCGACTCTGGTCAGGTCGGCCTGACACTTCGGCCCGACAGTAGTTTAGGGAGGCCAATTTTGGGGTACGTTTGTCAAATCGGCTAAGTCACTTTGCATGATATCCTTTGCTATAATATGCACCACTGTTTGTCAAACACTTAAGCTAAAGAAAAATGTTAAATTCAAACTGATTAATGTTCTGATTTATTTCTTGTTTTTTTTAACAGATTCAAAAAGGATGATATATTTCGGCTCAAACATGCTTTAGGCGTTCCAGACAGAATCACCTTGCCAAACAGGTCAAGAATGGATGGATTGGAGGCTCTCTGCTTAGGTCTGCAACGCTATGCCTATCCATGCCGATATGGAGATTTAGTTAAAGACTATCGACGACCAGTGCCCCAGCTCTGTTTAGCCTTCAACTGGGTGACTAACTTCATCTTTGATGCCCACAAGCACAGACTGACAACATTGGAGCAGCATTGGTTGGCCCCTCAGCAGCTGAGAATTTACGCTGATGTCATTCACCAGAAAGGGGCACCACTAAACAACTGTTGGGGGTTCATAGATGGGACCGTTCGTCCGATATTCCGACCTGGGGAACACCAACGGGTGGCTTACAATGGCCACAAGCGTGTACATAGTCTTAAGTACCAGTCCGTCACTTCTCCAAATGGAATGATAGCCAACCTTTACGGACCTGTGGAAGGACGACGACATGACGCCTACCTTCTACGGGAGTCAGGTCTTCTAACCATGCTTGAAGGCGGATCCCATGATGCAGAGGGTAACTTGTTGTGCATCTACGGGGACCCTGCTTATCCCGTCAGACCCCAGCTGCAGGCCCCATTTCCTACTGCAAACATCACACCGGAACAGGCAGCATTCAACAGAGCTATGTCCAAAGTCAGAATTACTGTGGAGTGGTCCTTTGGGGATGTAATCAACTTCTTCAAATACACGGACTTCAAAAAAAGTCAAAAGATCCTGCTAAGTTCTTGTGCAAAGATGTACATGGTGTCGGCCATTCTGACAAATGCCCACACATGTATTTATGGTAACAATACATCCTCCTACTTTGAACTGCAGCCTCCATCACTGGACGAGTATTTTCAATAACTTTGATCGAAACAATTTCTGTTATGAATTTATTTATTTATTTATTTATTTCTAATCTTTTGACAGGGTAGCCCATTCACCAACAAGTAGTGGTCTTCCATGGGGCCCTGAATAAACATGAACATATTTACATCGTTTATAACGTTTATACAAAACAGTTAAAAAAAATAATACTCATTTGCAAAACAAACATATATCATTAACCTAGTAAACAGTAATGTTAATAGAAAAAAAATTGATTAAGTCGCAATTATGTGAATAAGTCATGTTAATATTACAGAACATGCACGTAGAGATGCTCCATTCAACTTGGGTGCACCTCTTTGGATAGAGCGTCTCTTAATAAAATCTTGTACCGTTGCTCTCATGGCCATTCACTATTTGTATAATACCAGAAATGTTGAAAGAAGTCTTTCATTATTCTCAAATTACCTGTTCTTTTAATAGGACCCCCCACATTAATGATGATTCAGCATATGATGTGCAGGTCTGTGTACTGCTTACAGTACATTGAATAAACTCTAATCACCTCTTTGTAACCTTTATTTAATTGTTCCATGTCACTGGCCATGTTTGTGACAAATATTTTTCTTTGATGTCCAGTCAGTATTATTCAATAGGATTTGACAAGCAAGCATCACTGTTACCATTTTAATGTTGGCTTATAAGGAAGTAAAATTTCACATCGGGCAAGTGAAAATATAAAATGTATAAATATGACAAATTGATTCTCAAGCGAGAAGAAAGATTTTTTCAAAAGACTAAAGCAAGATAATTTATTTGAATTATTAACCAAAATGGACAAAATGTTCAATACAAAATAATTCTTTTAATGTTTTTTTTTACTTTATTTCTATTCTGGTTATAGTTAATTATTCTTTTGTGAAAGGATAAACTATTAAGTGGTGATTTGAATCGCTCAAAGAGCTAACAATAAAAAAAAAGACAGTGTGGAGCACTCAAGCTGTGAATTGGTCATTGCTGTGTCAGTCAGATACAGGAATACAAGCAACAACTGCAAATTGATCATCTTATCTGCCAGTGTTCATGGAAAATATGCACTGGATGTTGATTTGTTGAGTACAACAAAACCTTCTTATATCAGGGTGGGAGAAAGAAAAGAAAAATAGGTATGAGATCAGCAATCACTTTGTAACCAGAACCTTATCTGATCTTGTTCAAATGAGGTTTTGCTGGAGTCAGTTGGATGAACAACTCAAAAAATAATTTGTCTAATACCAGTAGAATACATTCAATAGCATCTTATGACACAGATGGACATGTTCTTGAGGTAATAGGGAAAAGTAGTTTTTTCTTTGTATTTTATGTATCATATGTGTGTGAATTTATCACTTTGTGCCAGTTTTTGTATATAAACCAGTCTAAATTCAAGCTATATTTCTTGTATTGCCAGATGGTACCACCAAAGTTATGAAAGTCTGTATGTCATTTAATTAGATTTTTACATCTATGAAAATAAACCAACTATAAGTGTTGATATCATAAAATAAATTTATTTAAACTGATATTAATGGCTACAAAAACACATTTTCTTTTACCAAAAAAAGAACAGGGGGAGTGAAAAAAGGAGAGGGAAAGGGAAAGAAAAGAAAAAGAGAAAAGGAAAAGAAAAGAAAGAAAGAAAAAGAAAGGAAAGAAAGAAGAAAAAAAGGAGAGAAAAGAGAAGAAAGAAACAGTACTGAAAGATGAAAGAATGTGGTGTGTTGTGGAGTGTGTAACTGTATTTATGTACAGTTCTGTAAGTGTATTTTTTCTATCCAGTTCTGGTATAGATATTCGGTACTTTAATTTGAAAATTCATATTGTTTGCACATATCATTTGCAAATCCAAAGGGTTGGGCAGAGACTAGTCATCCATTCTCTCTCCCCCAACACATACACATAATTAGACACACACACTGTACCACATTACTCATACTCTTGAAATTATTAAGCATAAATGCCACGATCAAGGTACAAACGTGAACATTTTTGAAAGAAAAATAAGCCCCCTTTGGTGGGACGACCCCACCCCCTCCTCGCCTTCAATTTGTCCAGCTTCATTAGTTTGGACTGCTGCAACTAACATTGTATTTAGATCATTTTCTTTATCGACAACCTGCGTTCAAACAAGTTAAGATTTTTTGAAAACATACAAACACCTGTGATAAGAAAACAAATTAAAATCAAGTACTTTTAAATTTTTATTTCTCAATAAAATGAACACACATATATATATAAATATATTTAAGTATATATACATAATATATACATAATAAATAAAATACCACAACTACATAAAATGCCACTTTCTTTCCACTATTAGCCTGATATGATTTACCTGTGTCACTTAATGTACTCAATAATCAAACTCTGCATTAAAAAGATCACATTATAAAGAAAGGGTAAACAACAATGAGTAGACACAAACTACTAATTGTATTAATAGTAATCTATTCCACCCTGTATCACCTATTTCAATAGAACTTGTGTAAAAGATTTGTTATCAAAATATGCACCATTAGCTTTATTAACCTGTGTTACGATTGGTACTGAATACATCAATGAGTAGAAAATATGAAGTAATAATAAAACTACAGTGCAATCCACGAATCCACTCTAGCCTATATCACCTATTTCATTTAAATGAAATTACCCATAAAGTTAGATACATTTACTGTATGTTTGGTATTGATACGGAAGTCGACACACATTTGACTTCCATGTAGATTCTATATTAAGTAAGGAATATTTCTAAATAATAAACTCAAACTCAAACTCAAACTCAAACTCAAACTCAAACATGAAATAAGCTGAAAACCTGAACTTTCAACTGATAAGTTACATCTTACATGTACCAGTTACATTATGAAAACACATGTACAATACACCAAAGATCTATTGAAGAATTTGAAGTACCTGTGAAAATAATATTAATTAGTATTGATCCTGAGATGATTTCTGTAAGATCTGGTTTACTTGGATCTCAACTTGTCTAATAATGATATATAATCCGCTAGCTCTCTAGTGATGCATAATTTCCAAAATGAGATTTTCTTCGCGTAGCTACTTAAACAAAACTATGTCAACAAGTTACTCTGAAGGCTACACATGTAAACGTATCAAGTTCAACGACATACTTGCCACAACACCTTCATCAAATTAACACAAGTTGGCATTGTGAAAACATAACATATGCACTACACAAGTAAACATGGTCAAAGTCACCTACTAAAGACCAAGGAGAAATATCTTGATTTCATTTCTTCTACTGCAGCATGTCCTGGGACAACAATAGCATCAACACATTAATAGGGGAGATGGTCCTAGCCAACCCCTTCCAATTCAGATATAAGACGAGCGATCGGGCCAGAGCATGGCAACAGGTGGCAGAGGGGATGATAAGGAAGGGATACAAGGTGGACTGCAGAGCGGTGAGGGACAGGATCCACATTTTAAAGGACCAGGTTAAGGCCAAGAACAATGCAGAGAAGGCAGCAAGTGGCATTGCAGTAGAGGAGACAGAGGAGGAGCTGGGCATTCGAGAGGCCATTGAAAGGATGTGATAGCACCAAGTACATTGAAACTAAGGAGGAAAAAGGAAGTCGCACACATAAAAAAAGGCAAGATGTTGTTGAATTGCATATATATACAAGTTAACACAATGTATCTTTGGCATATACATATCATAATGGCAGATGGGTAACTCTTAGGAAGACCATATAACTTAATACACACAGACTTAGCAAAACTGCCAAAGTCAATAGTTGAAGTCCTGCAGGCGTTAAAATAGGACTATACAGTGCGTCCCAGAAAAAACGAAACCGAGAGGTATCGATGTTCTATCATAACTTAATCACAACTATAATTAATGAATGATACATATTTGGAAAGCTTAGAGTCTCCTCTTTCATGTGATGCTACTCACGTGATGCATATTTCACGCATGAGTGATTAAAAGCAATTTGAAGGAAGGAAACCAAAAAGACATTTGGCGGGCGGTATCTGAATTTCAAAGAAAAATTCACATTTCTAGAAAGTTGAGTTTCTGCCCCTTTCATATGACACCTCAATCAGGAAAAATGAGCGAGGAATGACAAAGTTCTGTTTGTTTAAAGTAGTGCTTGCATTTCCATAATTTTATTAAACGAATTCGTTTTTACTGGCTGCCTGCAGTAGCAACAAGCAAAATTGACAAAAAGACTTAACTCCGTTTCGTTGACAATCAGCCGTAGATGAGAGTCTTCATGCATGGCTGATTGTCAACGAAACGGAGTTAAGTCTTTTGTCAAATCTGCTTTTTGCTACGACAGGCACCCAGTGAAAACGAATTCGTTTGTTAAAATTATGAAAATGTAAGGGCTACTTTAAACAAGCAGAACTTTGGTATTCCTGGCTCATTTTTCTTGATTGAGGTATCATATGAAAGGGCAGAAACTCAACTTTCTTGAAATATGAATTTTTCTTTGAAATTCAGATACCGCCCGCCAAATCTCTTTTTGGTTTCCTTCCTTCAAATTGCTTTTAATCACTCATGCGTGAAATATGCATCACGTGGGTAGCATCAACTGAAAGAGGAGACTCTAAGCTTTCCAAATATGTATCGTTCATTAATTATGGTTGTGATAAGGTTATGATAAAACATCGATACTTCTCGGTTTCGTTTTTTCTGGGACGCACTGTATAGCTGAAAAGACAGATTGGTAAAAAATTATGTCAAAGTAAAATGTTCACTGTTGGTCACTCAAAAATATTTCACTTGAAATGAATGATGAAAAAAAAAGATATTGTTCTTTACTTCTTTTCTAAAGATTTAATGAGGGCCATCATCATCGTTTGCATTTGTTGATTATGCTGTTGCTGTTGTTGTTGTTGCTGAAGAGCTTGTTGCTGTTGCTGCAGCATCTGTTGCTGCATAAGCTCAAAGCGACGCTCTCGGATTGCTTCTTCAGCTCCCCGTCTCTCTTCTTCCTCTCGTCTCCTCTCCATCTCTTCAGCTCGCTGTCTCTCCTGTTCCTCTCTTCTCTTCTCCAAATCCTCCCTCTTCATCTCCTGCTCCAACTCCATCTTTCTGTCTAGAAAAGCAAGAGTATCTCGCCCTTTGTTGCGCTGCCTTTTTGGAGTGGTACTGGTGCCGGCTTCGTCTTGGTGTCTAAAATGCAATATTTAAAAAAGAAGAGAAAAAGTGTCAAGCGTGTAAGATATTCAAGAGCCTGCATGATGTGGTGCGGGTACTGCATTCACCTCGGTATCTAACATGAAATATAAAACATAAAAGAAAAAGGAGTTTTAAAGTCAATCTACATGTTGTACATGAAGAACATTAACGAATGTTGGTTTACATAATACTAAAAATATATTAAAGGGATAATTGAGTTTGGTATAGAGGGCACTACACAAAATAATTTTTTGGTCAGATAATAACAAATTCGATGATAACGGCTTTTTACTTAGTCATTTGTAATTTTGTTTTCCTTTCATGCATGTTGAGTTATATTTGTTAGTTTGTAATGTAATGGTGTAGGTTTTATGCATTCAATCAGCAGATGTATGAGATTTATTGTATTATTACCAACGCTCCTTCTCTTCTCTTTCCTTTTCTTCTCTGCAAGTCACACTCTTTTTTATTTATATTTTTATTGTTGTATCTAAGTTGAGGGCTGAGGGCACGTCTAGCTACTTTGCTTATTTCTGTAGCCCTCCTGCATCTAATGTATGTTAATTATGCATTCAATATATTTGTTTAATTTCGTTTATTATCTGTATAAAATTATATACACTTAAAATATTGTATCAAACCATATTATGTTCATGAAAATGTATGAACTTCCCTACACAGACAGGCTAAAGATTTTAGACCTACACTCCTTGTACTATAGGAGACGGAGAGGCGATGCCATTACAGTTTTCAAAATACTAAAGGGCTTAGTAAAGCTGGACCCAAGTCACTTCTTCACCTTATCACTGAATACTCAAACCCGAGGACACTCTCTAAAGATTTTCAAGGAAAGGTCTCGTCTAAACATAAGGAAATGCTTTTTCAGCAACAGAGTGGTGTCCGACTGGAATAGTCTCCCTCAAGAAATAATTGACTCAAACTCCATTGATATCTTCAAGATGAGACTGGATAAGCACTGGTGGTCTGAGCGATTTGAATTAAGTTAATGATATGATCAAAACCGTCCTAAACCTGCGCATGTGCAATGAGTTAACCTCTAGAACATAACCAACCCTGAAGAAGTGACCGAGGATTACAGGATCTACCTCTCCTCGTATCATGATGATGATGATGATGATGATGATGATGAAAAAAGAAAAAAGATGCAGAAACCAATAAATCAAATCAAATCAAATCAAATCAAATGTGTGTTGAGAGGGGAGCAGAGGGGGTGTTAGGGAGTACACCTAGAATTTGTTAAATTTGAAAAATCTTCTGAAAAATACCTCTTCCTTGTTTCTCCCATTGTCTCGCAGGCCCTCTTCCTCAGCTCTTCTCCTTCCGCCTTCTTCTTCTGTTCGTCCCCTCTCTCCTTTGGAGCCAACTCTATATCCTCTTCCTCTTGCATCATCCTTTCAACGGCCTCTCGAATGCCCAGCTCCTCCTCTGTCTCCTCTACTGCAATGCCACTTGCTGCCCTCTCTACATTGTTCTTGGCCTTAACCTTGTCCTTTAACACGTGGATCCTATCCCTCACCGCCCTGCAGTCGACCTTGTATCCCTTTTTGACCATCCCCTCTGCCACCTGTTGCCATGCTCTGGCCCGATCGCTCGTTTTATAACGAAACTGGAAGGGGTTGGCTAGGGTCACCTCCCCTATTAGTGCGTTAACACTATTGTTGTCCCAGGACATGCTGCAGTACAAGAAATGAAAAACAAAACAATGATTTAGATAAAATGGAATTCTGAAATCATCACAAATGGTACTAGACCTATACATGTGTATCTATCTTGTAATAATGAAAAACATCATATCATGAATGCATTATATTTTGGACGTTATCATTTTTTGACAAAAAAGGTGGAAAATGATTGTACAAAGGATATTGAGTCGAAAACACATACCCATTCATGCATGTACATTTGAAATTCAATGATAATGATATTGTTCTTACATGTAGGCCTAGGGATCTATAGCTATAATTTAAGATGATGCATGTAATGGAAAACATACCGATTCACAGATTTTGAGGGCTTTGCCTTTGCTGCTTTCACTGGCACGGTAGGCACCACCTCGCCAACCTCCTGTAACAAAAAGATGAGAAAGTAATTTGTAACATTCTGACATTAAAATTTCCACAATTATCTAGGTCTAGAATCTAGTTCAAAGTCATAATTTTGAATGCGCTGGTAAGATTAAGAATAGGGTGTCTGATCGCGCACCCGATGTTGTGTGCTAAAATCTTTCCCATAGAGATTGCACACATCCCTATGTGGTCTACATGCATTGCGCGACCAAGCAGATTTGGTCAATGATTTTATGAAAAATTTGAAATTCAAACCTTTATAACAAATGATCCTGAAGGTGAAACTCAATAAATGTGGTGTCATATGAAAGGGCAGGTTTTTCTCCATATTCCCCATAGGAGGCCACCCCCGGAATTCTAAAAATATCTTGCTCAAAACAGCGATTTAAACATCGTTTCCATGGTAACTCGGAGATTTACCAATTTCACGAACCGCCCCCCCCCCCGAGGGATAAGTTGGGCCAGCTGTAATCCCATGCACTTATTTTTTCTCTAGTCCCAAGGGATCATTTGTTACAACAGTTTGAAAATACCCTTGCTTCACGCTTTGCATATCGTGCTGTGCATTAGCTGTGCAGCTTTTGAGCAGAAATTATAACTCTGCGTGAACCACTTTTCTGTCCATTCTGAAAATGCTATGAATATTGCAGTTTTTGAGGGGCTGTATCTTTTGATAGAAACATCCTTTCAAGAATGAGAGTGAGACTGAGTGAGAGAGAGAGAGAGAGTGAGCTGTCTGACTCTGACTCTGAGTTGAGTTATTGTGAGGTAAAAGAAAACAAACCCTAGCCCTAACGTTAGGGTCTAACTTTTAGTCTTATTACTATTAGGCTAGCCCTGGCCCTAGGGCTAGGCAGTAGGCTAGCCTAGGCCTAGATCTAGGGTAGCCTGGAAAACATTTGCAAACAACACATTTTCAGGGATGTTTAATTCAGGACACAATTTCAAGGAGAGTAGGCCCGCAATTTTGCACGATCAGAGGCTATTAATATTATAGCCATCAAGACTAGGCGAACACTCACTCAGACAGAGACGATAAACTGGCAATTAATGCACAACAACTTAGCAATGCAATGCAATGCCCTGCGCAATACAGTACAGACGGGACTACCGCACGAAGTAGTAGCACAACTTGTCTCGACCAAGCCACAAAACGGCTTTTATCATCTTTCAACAATTCATTATCCAATTTTAAAACGATTCATGTTATATCCATAGTATAGTTAAGAAACAACAATCGATAAAAGAAACTCACCGAAGATCCACTTGCTTTGAAATTCATGTTTTAATCTCAAAATGTTAGTCTCAGCTCAGTGTTGTTATTGTCTGCGATAGAAATTTTAGACGAATAAAGTTCCCGGGCCAGCTATACGAGCTCTCTGATTGGCTGCTGATTCACTTGGGTTGTCAATTGAGAACGAACATAGATTTGGCCAAAACCCGTTCTAGATTTTAGGGCCTCAGCGGTCATCCAACTGTTACTATAGTAACTTCTCGATTTTGCACACGAACCGCAGATTCTAATTCCCCAATGAGTTTGCGAAAATTGCCTATTGCAGGTACAACCGCGGCGAGGGGTGCCGCGAATAACCTCAATAGAGCAATGGACCAGCGCATTTTTGGTATTTGCGTCTATATACACCGAGAAGCATATAGTTCGGGCCTTAGAGATGTTTAAGTATATGGACACCGTCCGGACGGCGGCTAGATTTGGCGGCTACGGCTGGCGCACATACGATGCGCAGTTTAGGCTGAGGCAAGCAAGAGAACCCACTAGATCATGGGCTGTCATTGATAGTGAATTGTGGCTTATGACTGCCACAGCACCATGCACGCATTCAACCCCCGCCTACTACGGTGATGCAATTCGTGAAAGCGACACCTTCGGCCAGACAAATTAATAGTGTTTGTCCTTTTTGGATCTGCCAGTGGCACGATTTACTCACATTCTTTCAGAAAAGGCGCGGCCACATTAGCCGCTATGACCGGTTTGACGCAGGGGAAATTGAGAACACGGGGCGCTGGTCCTCGGACGCGCATAAGAGATATGTTCGTATTAATATGCTACCTGTTGCATAATTCATGATGTATTGTACCATATTACTTCTTTAATCATTTGAGTTTAAGGAAGCGTGTTAAGAAAAATTATCAGTTATTTGGGTTGATCTATATGTTTAAATAGTATTTATAATTGACTCATGTTTATGCATGAGGCAGTTGAAGATCAATATTGTTACATTTCATTGGTGATTTTGAAACGAGTTATCAACAACAATGAGCTGCCGGAAGTTTTCCTTTTTTCTTTTTCATTCCTGCTGTAGGTTGCCAGTCTCGTACAATCCTGCTCATAGGCGATTCCATGATCCACTGGTTAGCCGCCTTCGCGCATCGTAAGGGAAAACAAGGTTTGGGGTCGGCAGCCAACGTCGTTTGGAGAGGAAGGAGGGGCCTTAAGCTAGGTCAACTAAGTGGACATGTCCAACGGGTGCTGCCCGGTTCCTCTCCGTCGCACATCGTTCTGCACGTGGGGACGAACGACGTCGGGCAAGCTAAAAAAGACGAATTGTTCTTGCTTTTGGATACAACACTCGGACAATTGCACGAACATTTCCCCAATGCCCGCATCATTTGGTCGGATATTTTGCCTCGCAGGACCTACAGCGGCTTCAGTAAAGACGAGCAGCCCAAAATTGATCGGACGCGGCGAGCTCTCAACAAGCACGCCAGGCGCATATGCCGCACGATCGGGGGCAGTGCTTTGACTCACCTGGGCATCAGGCACGAGCGGCGCGAGCTGTTTAGGAATGATGGTATTCATCTCTCCGAGACCGGAAATAATATGTTTCTTCATAGCCTTATTAAGGGGTTGGAAAACATGGCATAGATTTTCGTGGAGTTTTTTGTTATTCAAGTCATAATGAAACGTAGTAATCACGTTTGTTTCGGGTAATTGGTCTATTTTTATTTAGCTCAAGCTTTGTAATTACAAAACTCGTACGTTATAGCAAAAGAGACTTATCAGGCTAGTGGTTTTTATTAAGATGTTAAGTTGATTTATTTAACGTATAGATATATATATATATATACAGTATATGTTTCCCCATTTTGATGTTTAAAGGTAGTTATTAGGTTTCGGGTAATTGGTTTATTTAGCTCGAGCTTTAAAAGCATAAAACTTTTATGTAACGCGAAAGAGACTTATTAGGCTAATGGTTACGATTAACATGTTAAGTTTATTACATATATATACCCGGATTTTGATGCTGTGTATTTCAGTTAATGAAAATTACAAAGCTTTCTCATGAGCTTGGTCACAGTTGGGACCATGAACGCGTTTTTCATCGAAGACTGCTTTTGGTTTAAGATGAAAGGTAGTTATCTCGTTATTTTGATTAATTGGTTGATTTAGCTTAAGCTTTGAAATTTCAAAACGTGGGTATTGAAAAGATATGGTAATTGGTTGAATGCATTATGTTCAAGTTCAAGTTCGCGTACTTTGTACATATATATATATATATAGCCGTTTTGTGGCTTTGTTTTATTTACCGATTATTGCAGAGTGTTTTCATGAGCTTAGTCACAGTCGTGGCCATAAATGTGCTTTTAACTTATAGTTTTTGGTTGGAAACGAAAGGTACATGTAGTTATCATGTTATTTTGGCTAATTGGTTGGATTCAATATGTTCACGTTCAAGTTTGTGTACTTAGTTCATATATATATATATAGCCGTTCGTGGCTTTGTTTTACTATACTTACTGTTATCGCGGAGTGCTTTCATGAGCATAGTCACAGTCGAGGTCATTAAGGTGTTTAATTTATTGTTTTTGGTTGAAAACGAAAGGTGGTTATCACGTTATTTTGGTTAGTTGGTTGATTTAGCTCAAGCTTCGAAATCGCACAACGTTGGTATTGAAATGAAATTAAGGTAATTGGTTGAATTCAATAGGTTCAAGTTCGTGTTCGCGTTTAAAACGCGTAGTGAAACGAAAGTAACCCATTAGAATTTAGGGTGAAATTACTATGTTAGTTTATATGCGTACATTACGCGATAAAAATATATACGCTCAGTGGCGGCGGGCGGTGCCCGTGTGGCGGAAATTGGCATTTTTGCCTCTTCGCATATATATATGTGTATGTGTATATATGTTAATATATACATATAAAGGTTATTATGTGTATTACACACTGCTGCAGAATACCCCATGGGAAGGTTGTGTTTTGGAGAATATGATTTGGATTATTTTAATTGGCCATTGTATCTTGCAGAGCTCAATATTTATTGGTTTCCGGTAAGGGCCCCGATGATAACAGGTATCCTGTTTATTTATAACATGTACCCGCCTGTAAAGTAGGCATCTGTTCGCCTGTTTAATGCAGTGGAACCGTGTGTCTTCTTTGTATGCAGAGGGGTGTTATACGTATAGCCCACTTTGTGGTACTCACAGTTAAATTCCATATGAGAAGGTAAACTCTGTTCGCCCTCTTTAATGAGGAAACAGTGTCGCCTTTTTACGGGCTGTGGGGGGTTGTACACAAGTTCTCGTCTGTTGACGGCCCTGATGCAGAGAGTACTTTGGATTGGACATGCCGGCTCCATCCAGTTTTTCAGAGCTCAATATTTATGGTTTTCCGGTAAGGGCCCCGATGATAACAGGTATCCTGTTTATTTATAACATGTACCCGCCTGTAAAGTAGGCATCTGTTCGCCTGTTTAATGCAGTGGAATCGTGTGTCTTCTTTGTATGCAGAGGGGTGTTATACGTACAGCCCACTTTGTGGTACTCACAGTTAAATTCCATATGAGAAGGTAAACTCTGTTCGCCCTCTTTAATGAGGAAACAGTGTCGCCTTTTTACGGGCTGTGGGGGGTTGTACACAAGTTCTCGTCTGTTGACGGCCCTGATGCAGAGAGTACTATGGATTGGACATGCCGGCTCCATCCAGTTTTTCATGTGCAGATACTTGTATAAATTGATCAAAAGATTCGAAAATGATACCCGGGTCCTTCCCTGGGGCAGATTGGAGCAGTGTAACGTTTAAGTAAACGTATTTTATATTCAGTTGGGAAAGTTTGTGTCGTAGTTGTTATTATTGTCATGATGTTGATATTCAGGGTAACAAGATTCCATCCTCTATTAAATCTCAAGTACCCGCAAAAACGCATCCCGTTTCATTTGTTACTGTGAATGTAAGAAATTTTATCGAACGAAGGGCGATATAAATGGTTTACATTCATCAGTGACATCACGAGTTCGCGGCGGCTTCTCTTCTGTGATGACCCTTAGCGGCATCTTGATAGAAAACAATAACATGCCGACACCCTTTGAGTCAGCCGCGCGGCTTCTTTCATGTACGCGTATCTATAAAAGGAATGTGCGCAATGTATGTTTCGAATTTATATATGGAATTATTTTAGCCGGGATATATTGGTTCTCACGGTGTTGGCGTGAGAATCCTCATTCACCTTGCAGATTTTTTAGAGGATGGTCATAGACATTATTCGGTGGCAAATTAATTTACCCTCCACCAACCCCAACTTCATTTTCCTCCTTACGTTTTTCAAGTGTATTCGATAGTATGTTTTACTAAATATTATGTGGTCAGGAAGCGTGTCAAGTGATTAACATAACGGATTAATCATGTTTGTTTTTTCCCCTCAGTCAAGTAATCTTGATGTCGAAGCAATGCTTGGCAGGTTGGGGCTTTCCTGCATCACAATTAAAGGAGATTTTATATATAACAACGTTGTTGATATAGCCGAGTAACAATTTTGGTCTCAGCTCGTTATACCATATTTTGTCGTTGTTGTTAATTCGATTATATATATTGGCATTATTGTTTTGCAAGCAATACGATTTTGTAATAATGGTTTTGTTGGTCTAGGAGATAAGTTATGATTGACATGATATGTGTTTTGTCTCACAGATATAAATGCAATAATGCATGGAAATTGTTTTACATGCTTTAGGTCAAGCAATCGAATATATACGATACAGGGTAATCTCGATTAAAGGAGATTTCATATGTAACAATGTTGTTAATATAGCAGAATAACATTCCTGGTCCCAGCTCGTTGTATTATATTTTGTTGTTACCTGTATTAGGTCCATGATTATATACAACGGCATTTCTGCTGTAGCATGGTAAATTTAACGGGACCAATTAAGAACCTCGTTATACCGATTTATCGCTGTATACAGTGGGTTTAACATTATTTAGTGAGTGTGTTCACGAATTAAAGGAGAATTGTATTCCCAAAGGACATGCAGGGTAATGCTATATCCAATTGAAAGTTTACTCGGATTTGGAGCAAATTGCTTGGTCGCACGAATATCTGCGGTTTTATCACGAATGGCTCCGCATTCGTGGGCCGTGTGGGAATTTTGTCCCGGTCATGTTTCTCAGATCAGTGGTCTGAAGATCGGGTTTGTTTCGCCCTCACCTCATCCGAAAGGGGGTCACGGAGTGGCCTCGGGGGGGGGGGGGGGGGGGGGGGGATCTAAACACGCGAATTGTTGGAATTTGCGTTGTGACATGCGGAAATTGGCATT